CTGGAAGAATTTGATGTCAGGAACTGGGACAATTTGATGTCAGGGACTGGGACAATTTGATGCCATGGACTGGGACAATTTGATGTCAGGGACTGGGACAATTTGATGTCAGGGACTGGGACAATTTGATGCCAGGGCTAGGACAATTTGATGTCACGGACTGGGACAATTTGATGTCATGGACTGGGACAATTTGATGCCAGGAACTGGGACAATTTGATGCCAGGAGCTTGGGCAATTTGATGTCACGGACTGGGACAATTTGATGCCAGGTACCGGGACAATTTGATGCTAGGGACTGGGACAAACTGATGCCAGGGACTGGGACAAACTGATGCCACGACTGGGACAAACTGATGCCAGGGACTGGGACAATTTGATACCAGTGACGAGGACAATGAAAACAACTTGAGTGTAATACACATATCCACAAACCTCATTTTAGTAAAATGCTTCATTTTGTTCCTCTGTTGCCCATGTTGTTTGCAAAGAGACAATGGTTTGCATGAATGATATTTATGTCTATCTACCACGTGAGCAATTGCTTTGCCAAATTTTATGAATTAAAGGCAAGAACAGTGACGACTATCTTGTAATTTAGGCAAGGTCAGTGAAATATTATCAGTGTGCTCAGGTACTAGCCTCTGTTACTGCCTAAGCCTTTGTACCATGGACTGGAAGACACTGGTCAGCTTGAGCCCCCAAATTGGTCCAGCAGGCTGAATATTTAGCACAGAGGGATACCAGTACACATGGCAATAGTATCAGTTCTTTAGAAAGAGATTTACTCAGTCTGAGATTTTGTGACTTCATCTGCTGTAGACCTAATCTGGTAATTGTTCTTGGGATAGATTACACACACTATCTGTTGTGATATGAAATCATTGTGCCTACAGAAATTCTATAATTGTTAGATTGACTTTTACAGAACAAGCCAATATATGCTGATTACACAGGATGTAAGAACAGTGGATGCTATATATGCTGTACACACCATACGGAGCTGTAAGTTCCATTGTATATGCACAATATTGTCAACACATGGTATCTATTCAAGAGAATCGATAGGATAAAATATTAATCTAGAAAGAGGGCGTCAGTCTCTGCATCTACATGGCTTTCTTCCTGCATGGAAGTGCTGATTGAGTACTGACAATTAGTGGACAGTGATCTGTGCTGGTACTAGTAGATATCTAGATACCAGCACTTCCTGACATCATGAAAAGTGAAGTATCACTCCCTCATGGAAGACAACCATTATTATCATCGGGTGCTTAGTGATATTGCTTAGTTGTATCAGTTATGGCATAAGGGACCACTTTTGTATTGCTTTTGGACCACTTATTAACTGCTTATTTACCTGATAGGATGCGCAAGGAACGGTAGACACTTTTATGACAGTTATGGCGAATAATCTCAAGAAATGTGAAATATTTTAAAATTTTCACCACATTAAGAAGAACTGATTTTTGCTTAACAACGATGGGAATATGTACCTCTGCAAAAAACACTGGTCCCACCACAGAGCTTGGATATGGCAGGTAAATTTAAATAATGGTGTAATTTACCAAGAAGTGTAAGCTGAAAGAAACCCTTAAACCACATTTTCTTTAAAAAAAAAAGAAGCATGACGCTGTCAGTGTCTAGGAATTCCATGTCATCAGTGTTAACTACAAGGGAAATTGCCGTTATGATGTTCTTCATGATCTTTTTGGTAATCTTGAACTAACAGTATAATGGGTGCTGAGGCCTTGTGAGTAAATGCTTTGAATTGGAATGAATTAAAATCATAGGTACATTTTAGAAGTTCAACCAAATTAATTGTTTCATCGCGAATATCTGAATATTTGTTGCACTTACTAATTTTTGTGTTAATACAAATTAAGTTACACCATTACCTGTCAGATGATCAGATGAGTCTGTTTAA